AATTTCGGGTTGTGTTTTCTAAAAGTGATAGCGTGACAGTTCTCATTATTGACTACTAGTTAATAATGTCCACATTATTAACCACTTTGAACAAATGCCGAGAAAGCCTACTTTACAAGTGGAAAAAAGGTTAATAATCATGTCATCAGACGCTAGTAGTGAAAAAAATACATTAATTTAAAACCTTACTTGATGTCGGAGTCAAATTACAACATGTAGGTTTTCCTGTAACGAGTACTGTTCATTATGTTGATTTGAACACTTAGAAAAATAAGACTCATCTGTCCATATGCTCGGACTCGTAAAACTGCAGTTAGTTTCGATATTCTTACGAATAAACCACCTACAAAATGTGACCTGGGACAATGCATCAACGGTAATACATTGTGTAAAGTAAATCGAATTGTCTTGAAATGTGTTTAACTGGATAATGCCATGGCATTTTTTCGAGAGGTTAGTTTGTAGTTATACCAGCATTTTGTAGGTATGTAAGTATGGATAATATGATAGTCAATAAGTGACGTCATAAAAGTCAAAATTTTTTTACGCGTACTTATATTAAAATTGTGGAGGGAGTTATAACGCCCAAACCCCCCTTCCATGAGTGCACCCCTGATATTTTAAACATCTGATGTATTTACTTTCATCGTTTTGTTGCCTCCAATAGATTTTGTTTTGTTTTTTTTTTAATTCATCATAGCCTACTTGATTAAAATATAAAAACCGTTCATATAATTGCTATCTTATTTTCAATCTTATGCTATGATAGCTCGTTGAAAAGAGAATTAAAAAATCTATCAAATAATCTAAACATCCAATATGGCGCCTATTTAACTTTAGGAAGTTGGTAAATGTTCCTCAAAGGTAGCCTTGAATTTTTTTTGACATCAATTCTAAATTAGGCGTATTAAGGCAGTAACTTTTATATAAAACTTTTTTTTATATCTCTTGTACTTTCGATGATATAAGACATTAAAGGAAATGACCAATTTTAGTTTTTTTTAATTTACGTCGAACCTATTCGACATTTTGAATTTCCACAAGGAAATTTTAAATAAGCATCTAAACTGCAAAACATTGTCCATTTAACCAATTCTCTATCTTTAATAATAAGAAAGTTACCCAATCAATCCCACCCGATCTGGGACACACTGTATATCTAGAACTTTTATATATTTACATTAAAAGTTTTAAATATATACAAATTAAGTTTTATATGTCTGCGGGATAGCATCGATGAAATATATAAAACTTCAGCTTCATGTATCTATCACTGGTGGCGCTGCAGTAATCTCAAACTCGGCAACAGCAACCAGCGTTTGTTTCATTTGAACAACTGATCTGCTACTTCTGTTTACATTTCGAATATTAATAATAATAATATATAATAATAATATATTTATCATGTTAATGTGCGGAGCACTTACATTGGTCATTGTAGAAAAAGATATAGGTATAAGACATTACTAATACAAAAACATACATACTACCACAAACAGTTCGAGCAAACATATTATATAATAACATATAATATATATAGCACAATACATATTAAAAAGTGTGCACGAGTGAGTTCAGAGCTGAAAGTGTCCTTTACTGGTGCTCGTTGTAAATTCGTCGAGGGAGTAGAAAGCCTTTTTGAGTAAAAAAGACTTTACTACCTCTTTGAATCTTCGCATTGGGAGTTTCCTGACGGCTTCCGGGATGCAGTTGTATAGGTGCTGAGACTGCCAGACAGCACCGTTTTGGGTTGTTCGCAGACGACAGAAGTGGGTGTAGATGTTCGCTCTGAAGCGAGTTTCATACTGATGGTTATCGCTACTTAGAGAAAAATTGATTACATTTTTCTTAATGTAGCAAACTGCTTCGAGAATAAATAAACAAGGGAAAGTTAGAATATTTAACTTGACAAAAGAATCACGACAATCTTCTCTGAAACTTAGTCCATGAATTACTCGTATAGCCCTGCGTTGTAATTTGAAAATTTTTGGCCACGAGCAACAGTGGCCCCACACCGTAATTGCGTATTGTAGGGCAGTTTGGATCAGACAGTGGTAGGCAGCTTTAACAATATTTAGAGAAGCATTGTTCACAAGCTTACGCATGAGAAAAATTCCGTTGCACAATTTTTTACAAATGGTAGCACAGTGTTCTTTAAAGCTCAGCGTTCTATCTACAACGCAGCCCAAAAACTTTGCACTTGAAACAAAATTAGATGGTACATGGTCACACGCAGTTTTTAAGGTGAAATGCATTAACGCGGTCTTATCACAGTTAACACGTAGTTGATTACTTTGGCACCATTCGTTAATTAAGTGAACCGTGTTATTAGAGGTTGTTACAGCGGTCCTGAGATCCCTATCAGAAGTCAGAACTGTTACGTCGTCGGCATATAGTATGCACGTGACATTTTTTGGTAGACAAGATGGCAGGTCATTTATGTAGGCAAGGAACAGTAGCGGTCCCAGGATCGACCCCTGCGGCACTCCATTGGTTATGTCGGTACTCTTAGATATAGTATTGTTGTATAATACACACTGCGTTCTGTTGGTTAAATATGAGGCTATTAGCGAACAGCTGTTCGGAGTGAAATTATAGAAATGTCTTAGTTTATTCGTTAATATTGTGTGATTCACACTATCAAATGCTTTGGACATGTCAATGAAGGCGGCAACAGAGTGTACACCACTTTCAAATCCCTGCAGCGTAGATTGCGTGAACTCTATGATGGCGTTTGATGTTCCACGTCCTTTTCTGAACCCAAATTGTCTTTCGTATAAGAGTTTATTATTCTCAAAAAAAGCTACCATTTGTGTATACAGTATGTTTTCTACGACCTTTGAAAAGGTTGGTAGTATAGAAATGGGTCTGTAATTATTCATATCTTCTACCTCCCCTTTTTTGTGGATAGGAATCACCACAGCAGCTTTAAGGAGATCAGGAAAGACTCCGGAGCTTATCATGGAGTTCACTGCTATCGTTAAGGGTGGTACTATCAGGTTGATGTTGGTTTTAAGAAATTTTGCGTTTAGTCCATATATATCTCTGCATTTGCTAATTCTAATTTTGCGGATAGCATCACGAATTTCGATTTGTGATACATTGGCAAATTGAAATTGTTGTTTTGAGCTTGCAGATGTGGTATTGAATCTTAAAGGATCAGTGCTGCAGGTTAGATGACTATTGATGGGCTTAACTGCAGTGTTCGAAAAAAAGTTTACGAAGTTGTCCGCAGTTATCATAGTTGCTTTGTTGCTGCCGATTACTCTGTGGGAGTTTATAAGGGACCACATTGCTTTTGGTTTGTTACCTGAGTTTTTTACGTATAAGTCGTTGGCCTTAATTTTTGCTGCCCTAATTTCTTTCACATAGGTTTTGTATATCTCACTTTTTATTTGTTTCAGATTATTAGTGCGAAACTGTTTGTATAAATCAGTGAAAAATTGAAGTTTATCCCGCAACTTTCGTAAATGTCCATTAAACCAGTTTGGACTGCTGTCTCCTAGTCTGCGATGAAGTTTCTTTATAGGAAAGCATAATAAGAAAGCATTATGAAATTCCTTAAAAAACGTCGAGAAAGGGTCGCTTCCACATTGATTAAGTGCTTGTTTCCACTCGATGTTACTAAGCAATTCGAAAAACTTTTGGTATCCAGTTAGAGAGAAAGGACGATGTGTAGTTGTAGTGTACTCCGCACCTTTATCCGTGGGTTTAGTTTTAATTTTTATACTTTGTCCTAGGTGGTCAGAAAGGCCGCTTTCTATTGTATTCGTTGTAAAGTCGTTGGTTGCGAAATTTATAAAAATATTATCGATGCAATTTTTATCGCGTGTCGGAGTAAAAATTGTTTGGACAAATCCATATTGGCGGAATAGCTCGCATAGGTTTATGCATTTTGAATCATTCGACATGAAAATTACATTAACATTACATTATACATAGGTATAATTATTATGTATTATTGAATTAAGAAAGAAAACTGTCGAATGTCTGATTTGCTAGTTTTCACGCCGCCGTTTCTATTTCGTGTACTTCTAACAAGCAACCTATCACTATTTTATTTTTATAGTAAATTTTCAAACTTGCAAACCGGTTCATATAATTAAAGTGTAACAAATGCATGCACTAGTAACCTATATCTTCTTAGCCCCTGGAAAGTATTGTTTGTACTGTTCTATACAAATTCAATTTGATCTCATAGACTGCCAGGGAAAATTGAAATGAACTGTAAGTGTTGTAAAAAATGAATACGGAACTGAGGTAACGATAATTAAACAACAAACTTCATTACGTCAAATACACAACTTTCGTCAACACATTGTAGTTTTACAATTCTATTATCATAGTGTTGTGCAATTTAAACTTTACTAATAAGATAAACAAACTGGGTCTGCACCTTTCGTTAAGCGACAGATATCAATAACAGAATATAGTGTACAAATTAATACATTTGGGCGTGCGATAATTACTATTATCTGAATACAGTAGGTGATGAACGCAAACCAAAACAATATAATTATTTTATAAATATGTGCTAATTTACAGACTCGAATAAAATTCATACATTGCCAGATTGAAGTTGCTGAAATGTGTATATTTAACCGAAATACGAATGTAAACAAAAGTAGCAGATCAGCTGTTCAAATTCAAACAAACTCTGGTCGGTGTTGCCAAATTTCAGGCTACTCTAGCGCCACTAGTGATAGGCGTACGAAGCTGAAGTTTTATATATTTCATCGACGCTATCCTGCAGATATATAAAACTTAATTTCTTATATATTTAAAACTTTGAATGCAAATATATAAAAGTTCTTGATATATTTATTTTATTTATATATTCGTGAGAAATAATTATGGTACAAACGGCGCCTCATATAGACATGTCCAAACTGTTGTATCATGATCGCCCAAGCGAACATAATTAGTTTTATAACAAAATGTTAAATGGGCGGGGTCAGCGAAATCGACCTGCGACTTGTTATGATACTATTTTGTTTCAGGGGAGTATATAATTTACACTGCGATGGCGCTGAGAAATAAAGCGTTTGGCAGTGCCCAGGAGTTTGTGTGGGGTCAAGATTCGAGTGAGTACGCGATAAGGGAGGCGGGTTCGACTGTGCGCATTTTTAAGAACTTTAAGGAAAAGAAAAGCTTTAAACCTGATTTCGGTGCCGAAGGTATTTTCGGTGGTTGGCTTTTGGGAGTTAAGTCGGTTTCCGGGTTGACCTTTTACGATTGGGAGACAACTGTGCTGATTCGTCGTATTGAAATACAACCGCGGTCCGTTTATTGGTCTGACAGTGGTCGTTTAGTGTGCATAGCTACGGAGGACAGTTTTTATATATTGAGCTATGACTCTGAAGAAGTTACAAAAGCTCGTGAAGCCGGGGAATCAGCGGAAGACGGTGTTGAAGCTGCCTTTAACGTTTTAGGGGAAATTAACGAATCGGTTCGTACGGGTTTGTGGGTTGGAGATTGCTTCATCTATACCAATTCGGTTAATCGCATCAATTACTACGTGGGTGGAGAGCTAGTCACTGTGGCTCACTTAGATCGACCGCTGTATTTGTTGGGTTATGTTCCGCGTGAAGACCGCTTGTATTTAATAGATAAAGAATTGGGTGTTGTAAGTTATCAACTACTTCTATCAATGCTGGAATATCAAACGGCCGTTATGCGGCAAGATTTTGCTACTGCCGACCGAGTTCTACATTCCATTCCCAAAGAACACCGTACCCGAGTCGCCCACTTTTTGGAAAAGCAAGGTTTTAAGCAACAGGCTCTGGCGGTCAGTACAGATCCCGAACATCGCTTTGAGTTAGCTGTCAGCTTAAAAGACGTTAAAACTGCCGAAAGTCTTGCAATAGAAGCTAACAACCCACAGAAGTGGAATCAACTGGGCGAGTTGGCCATTTCATTAAATAATTTAACACTCGCGAAGGACTGCATGAAGAAAGCTCAGGATTATGGAGGACTGTTGCTAATGGCAAGCAGCTCCGGTGACGTCGACCTCATGCGTTATTTAGCCGAAACTACTGCCTCCACTAACAAGCACAACATCGCCTTCTTGGCTTACTTCATGTTGGCTGACCTACACAAGTGTTTAGACATTTTAATCTCGACGGATCGCGTCCCAGAAGCCGCATTTTTCGCTAGATCTTATTTACCCGATCAGATCTCCAGGGTGGTCAAGCTTTGGCGTCAGAAGTTATCGGTTATAAACCAGAAGGCGGGGCAAAGTCTCGCCGATCCAGAGCAGTACGAAAATCTATTTCCTGGTCTCGACGAAGCCATTGCGACGCAAAGATTCCTCGAAAAGGAATATTCCACCTTTGCGCCTTCGGTGGCGGCAGCGAGCACAGTTCCAAATCGGAAACGAAATCCCATTGAAGAAATGAAAGCGGCGGTTGCCAGTGGTCTGTTTACTTTTGGTGATGGCTTAAAAAGGTTTGTATAACTTCTAAGACGTTTCTCACTGTAACTATGCTGCTGTTACAGAAAACTTGTAGTATCAAAACCAAATATTTTTAAGAGAAAAGCTTTACTCACAATAAGATTATATAAATTAGGTTTGAAAACAAAATGTAATTCCTTTAAACTTTTTGTTTTACAAATGAACACTCGGCTTGCCCAAATTACAAGAGACTTAAAATTTCATGAACACATGATAAAATTTTTAAAAAACAATTACAAACACCTCAAATCTAAAATTAAACCCTAATTTTCTCCAACACTGGAAAACTTTTGACTTTCAAGGACGAATGTTTGATCCGTTGTCACGCATTTGGATATGCATAATTTTCCTTTAAAAAATTTATAATTTTAAAAAGGGCAAACTCAAAAACGATAAAAAAAGTTTTGCGACACATAAAATTAACATATGTAACAGAAGTTCTAATTCTTCAAATTAACATCCCAAACAATGATGGATCCACCATAAATTCTAATGCAAGGAACAAAATTTAGTGTTGCAGAAAAACCGTTAGAATTGCAAAAGTCTGATGCGGTTCCCACCGGCATACTCTTAGATGTACCCTCGTCCACAAAAGTTCCATCATCAGCGGTTCCACCTGAAGACGACGATTTAGACTTTGATTTAGAAGGAATGAATTTAGATGATAACATTGACACTTCCGTAAGTTATTTTTACAAAAAGCAATAACAGTATATTTGTGTTGTTCTTTTACAGGACATCAACATTGATGATGAGTTATTAACTGAGTAATTGCGCCATTTTGTAATTTTTGTATTAGTATTATTTTAACTCATTTCCAAAGGCTCCTACAACATCATGTAAAGTATAAATATAAAATAGTAGTGAATCATTTTCACATTGTTCTAATAATTTATAAGAAATATATTTGTGTATATTAACTAGTTTTTGTGTGAATCTTAAACACCGGCTGGAGATTCTTTTAATATGCAGAGGAGGTTATCCAGGATGGTATGATATTAAAGTACTGTCATTGGTACTTTTGATTTTTTTAAATAAATATCACAAATATATTATAAATATCAATAAATAAAAAGTATTAATAATTAACTATTAAAAATCATATCATAACAGTGCAATACCTTCAAGAAATGCAAAAAGGCGTCATTAACTCCCCCACCCCATCGAATAACAATTTCTGCGGCACAAATGAGTACATAACTTGCACTAAAAAAAATTAGAACAGTACACACTGTGGTGGGGGGGAGGGGCAGTGTTAATAAATGGTAGCGACACAAACAAACAACTCCATATTATCACTATAATAAGAAATAAGCTGGTTTATTAGATGTGAAAGTCAAAAGTGAGGTTATAAATATGATTCCTTAAATACGAAAAATAATTAGTTTTTTTACCTGGTACTGCTTACTGCTGATTATTAATTAAACTAGTGATATAAAACAAATGGGGAATGTTATGTACAAATTACAGCTTCATAATTGAAAGAAAATAGGTAAGCGATTAGAATCGTGAGTTTGTGCTCCACTCTTCACAGGGTGCTCTGCTTCCTACAAATTTAGACAGAAATGCATTAAAAGCCAAAGAAGTGCCATTCACAGAGGATAAATATAGGGGGAAAATCTGGAGCAAGAAAGGCAACTGTGGAAACCGCTAAACGCCACATTTTACATCACAGGTATAATACTTATACAAAAATTAACCATCCGAGGAAGTGACACTTGCATTTGCATAACTTAAATCTGACATTAATTTTATACAACATTTGATATTGTAACGTGATTTATAAATTCGGGTTCGATTTATATCAATATTTATTAAACAAAACTAAAACATTATAAAATCCGTACAATTTATATCGATTATTTATATCACACACTTCGCAATTTATATTTCCGCGCTCGATGTTTCATACGTACTCGATCTCGTTCGATAGTAGACTGCCGCGATGTTCGGTCCGCAACCATTTATACACGCAAGCAATGTAAGTCCAGAACATTCGCGCATTTACCAGACACGCTGCAAAGATCCCCACCATCGCGCGTCTAGAAAATTCCAGAGCGCCAAAGGCGACGTCATGTCTGGAGCGTTTCCGTTACAATATGTTCAAACGTGGTCAGCTCAAACAGATTTAAAATCAACTCCACTCCTTTCCCATTTATGAAAAATATTATTCCGTAGTTTCTTACATAATAAAGTACATGAAATATATTGTTAATTAGCCGGACCTTCTCCAGTCCAGAAGGTATCTGAAGGTCCTGGATACGGTAAGCTTAGACTAAATAAATTGTATTTCGAGATGAATGCCGCTAAGTAATTTTAACACTCCGGCATTTACCTCTGCACATACGAAACAGTTACAGACATTCAAAAAAATGAGATTCATACACAAAGTCGCTAATCAATCTAAATGAGTTTTAAACAATCAAATGAAAACTATTCAAGGTCAAGGATCACTTACCCATTTTTATGTATAATGATCAAATTACCAAACTTTTTTTTGCTAAAAAATCATTGGACAGTGACAGGACACTTTCCTTCATATACAGACTAACGTTTAAAAATTGTGACAGCACTGTTTCGAGGCTTAGGGCCAGTATCATAACCACTCAGGGGCGTCGATAAGGGGGTTCAGCAGGGGCATTTGCCCCGGGGCCCGGCCAAAAGGGATTTTGAAACCTGATTTTTAATTGTACTTTTTAACAAAAATCTGAATATGAGAGAGTAGAATATTAAAAAAATGCACAGCAGAAGATTAAAAAACCCATACCATTGAGATATATATAGAATCCAAAACGACCAGAATTTTCAAGAATATTATTATTAACTATACATCAAAAGTTATGCGTAAGGAATAATTAACAAAATTAGAACAATGTACATTATTATATTTAATTGTCTATTATAATTGCATATCCTCTAATTCAACAATCGTTTCTTCTGAAGCTCTTTCGAGGTTAACAAAGTCTTCAACGTTCTTAGAGATGTCTTCCTCCAATTTTTTTACAGGCTCAGAAGTTTTGGCTTCTGTTGACGAATTTTTTTGTAGTCTGTCATGAAATTCGACCAAGTGTTTATCAATCTCTAATATTTTAGATTTATTTTGAAAATTGATCTGAAAAAATAATGGTAAGTAATTAAAGTAATGGATTAATCAAGCAATTACCCGCTTAAGGTGTCCACTAACAGGTTTTGCCTTATTTTTTGATTTTCCACTCCTACCACCGACCACCTTAATCACATTCTTTATTTGTTTCGTTTTGTTCTTCTTTCCCATGACGACCTGTAAGAAATTAGGTTTTAAATGGAGAATGACTACAATTAAGTACACACTTTTTTTCGAGGCATTGTCTAGAGAAGGGGAACAGCTTCTTTTGACATTCTCATTAGTTAAAATCTCTTTATCTAGTTTAATAGTGACTCGAACCATTTCTTTGAAATTACTGACAGTACGAACTCTGAATATATTTAAAATTTTATCTTCAACATCAAACTTAAATTGTTCAGTTATCAATTTTTTTGCAATACCGGTCACATCCTCTCCTTTTGTAAAGCAATAAACATGAAGAATTGGAGGTTTATGCAAATCTCCAATCTCGTTCCCATCGTACAGTTTTAAAAAGCCACCCAAAAACTCTACAGCTAGTGCGGGTAAATTCATTATGATTGTAATATTTTGTTTATTAACGTATTTAATTAATTGATCTTTTAAGTCTTCTCTAATAAAATCTCGACCGTCTTTGTTATACGCACTGAGATTAACTTTATTTTTTCTCGCATTATGCAAAAGCCACTTGTAAGATTCGGGATTTAAATCATTTGCGTAAACAATACATCCTTTTTTCGCAGCCGGAATAGAAAATGGACCCACCCCAGCGAAAACATCAAACACAACATCATCTTTACTTAAACTATCCACAATTCGCTCGTGTTCCGTGCTTAATCGAGGATTCCAATACACTTGAGAGAAATCAAATTCAAACTGGCACCGATTCTCCTTTAATTGAACCGTCATATCCGGATCGCCACAAATAATTTCCATTTGAAAGTTACGATACGTATTCTCAATCATATCTACTTTATTTACAACAGTACGAGTTCTCGGCGTCTTTTCCAACAAAACTTCACCAATAATACTTTTAAATGGTAACAAGTGTTCACGAAGATTCAAATGGATGATGTGACCCACTTGTGAAAAGCTAGAGAAACCGTCCTGGTTCTCCGGAAGAATGGCTCTAAAAATTTCGTCAGCATGAAAATTATCGTACGTTAATCGCAAGTTAACAGTGTCAAAATTCTCTTCGGTTATCGAGTGTTTTTTTAAACCCTCTCGATCACACTCGTCCATTGCAGAATAGGTTTGAATGTTACGATTTAGCAGCATATACTTTTGATTGTTATCAGTGCATGTTTGTAGCGGTTTTAGATGTCTAATTCGGAGGCCGTATTTTTTAAGGTAGGGCATTACATCCGATACATGCGCTTGACGTAGGTGAATAATCGGTACTGTTATATCCGTATCGAACTTTGATTTGTCTAGAATGGTCATGTTTCGAACACATTTCGGAAGGTTAACACCACTGTTTGTTGTTGGCATCGTATTTTTTAAATGTAGGTTGAAATACCAACGAAAAATACTATAAGTGGGCATGAAAATAAATGTTTTTAGTTGAAAATAAAGTTAATACAAACCTAAATATTTTCATTCGAACTATTTACTTTTTAGGTTAGGTTTTCGCACCGACACGTGCGAATTGCGAATGTTTAGTACATACAGGGTGTTTTTTTAAAGATGGGCCATAGAAAGTACACACCTAGCACAACGCAATGTAAAGGCGTTGAGTTATTTAAAATGGGCCATAGGGAAATTTACAGTGCGCAAATTGTTCTCAAATCTTAGCCTTGCGCTTCGTTATTTTTTTGGACTTTTTTGTAGGAAATTAAATTCTCTACAATTGACCTATGTTATACGAGTTTTTCTGTACGAAGTTCCGTTTTCACAGCGTTTGCAAGTAATGTGGGGTATGGGTACCTTTCGTTTTGTGACTGAATCTATTAAATTCAAAGGTTGCGAGCTATTTTATGGTACGCACGCTTCAATGTTTTCCTACCACTATTTTATTAACGAGCTCCTAGCGAGTTTATAGTTTTGCGGTGTCCGTCCGTCCGTCCGTTAGCACGATAACTCATAAACGAATGGACCGATTACGATGAAATTTTGCAGGTGGAGTCTTTACCAAATTTGTAGATCGGAGTTCGTGAATTGGCAATGTAGCCCAAAAAATAAAGTAGGCCCTTTTGACATCTTCGTTAGTTATGAACCGAATTGCATGAAATTCAATATGCGCATTGCTTTAGCCATATTAAACACAATTCCAAAAGTTGAGCCTAATCGATCAGCATTCACAGTGCCATTTTGCGTATCTCGACCATTTACAGACCGAATTACAAACCTTCTTATTTATGAAGGTATTTACATGAAATTTGATACATAGCCACTTGGAATAAAAACAAATTTAACGCCAGTTTTCAAAATTTGGTTTTGCGCATGCGCAGTGCCAACTTTCTCATTTATGGAGGGATTTAAATGAAATTTGATACATAGCCACTTGGAATAAAAGAAAATTTAACACAAGTTTAAAATTTGGTTTTGCGCATGCGCAGTGCCAACTTTCTTATTTATGGAGGCATTCAAATGAAATTTCATACATATACACTTTAAATAAAAGCAAAACTAACATCAGGTTTAAAATTTGGTTTTGCACATGCTATAGCCATACACAGGAGCTCGTTTGCTATATTTGTTTAATTTATTTCTCTATTCGATAGCGTTTTGTGTGCTATTCAATTTTTATAAGGGGTGTCCTGTACCTAAACCCCCTAGTTTTTAGGTTATTCAATATTTTTCACAAAACAATAGGTAATGAATTACATGTTTATAAACAGGATCAAGTAAGCCGTAATAATATAGAAAACAAAAGAATTTCAGTAAGCAAGTGTCACAAGTAAATTATCTGCTGCAAGTAATGTGCTCCCTATTTCGTAGTAAAATAAAATTAATTAAAAAGGCGAATTTCGAACTAGTCTTTTTACAAAATCTTATTTTACTAGGAAATAATGAGTACCTACACTTGCAGCAAACTATTAATTTATTCTTTGGTTTTTTATTATCACGGTTTACTCCTGTTTATAAACATGTAATTCATTAATGTGTAACTGTTTAGTGAAAAATATTGAATAACTTAAAAACTACGGGGTTCAGGCACAGGATATCCCTTCTAAGAATTGAAGAGCGCACAACAACCATCGAATAGAGAAACAAAATAGTTTATAGTTCCATTTGAATACAAATGGTTATAGCACTTTGAAATCTAGAAATTTTCCAATTTTTTTGTAAACACTCTGTATCATTAAATTCAACGTTCTCCTTACCAAAGTGTTGCCTTTTATTCAGATTAAAATTATTGTTTCTATTTCTTAACTTTAAAATCAAGGTCGCTACGATTTATCAAAGTAGGGCTGGTTTATAGAGAATTATTCGGAAAAAAATTAATAATTTGGCCTGCAGAGGTTAAAAAATGACATCGAATTACCTAAAAATAAACAGGCTGTTCCATTTAAAAAATCAGCTGTGTATTGACACCGTAAACATGAGACACTCTGTACATTCAAAAATAATTTCTGTAGATGCATAACCTTCTATAGTGGACATTTGCACAAAAGATTTTTTGCTATTTTTTACCAGGTTATAGGACCCTGTATAATTGTTATAAAACATAAAAAACGAAGAAAGAATGGGAAAATTTCGTCTTTTTTGTATTTCACTTCAATTATCTCGTTATCTATTGCTCTGAGGGAAAATGAAGAGAAATGAATTTGTTTAGAATCGAATTTTCTATAAGATACAGTTGGTATGGAACGTTCATTATCAATAGTATATTGAAAGACAAGTGTTACAATGCGACCTATTGTAATACGACTATCTTGTGGCACGAGTGGCGACGCGAAGCGTAGGCACGAGTGTCCGCAAGATAGGAGTATTACAATAAAGCATTGTAACACGCGTTTTTCATACTATTTTTTCTATTTCGGTGCTTTAATTTAATTGAAAAAATCATTAGCCAGGTTGCGGACAGCATTTTCCGTTATGTTAAACGGCCATAATTTCTTATAACATAAGAAATATAAATTTTTGTAGAAATAATTTACGGTATGAGGGCTTTTTGTACGATATATTTATAAATAGCGGAACCAATGAAAATGAAGTTCTTATAATGTGTCACTGCGCAGTACGTAATCACCAGAGACTTTCCATGTCTCTGGTAATCACTCATAAAAATAACATTTTCCTGCTAACCTACAATTGTGCAGTGTTTATGTTGGCGGTAGTTCTTTTCTTTTTGTCTAAGAGCATAGTAGGAAGGAAGGCTTTATAAATAAAGATACTTTCAATGCCATCAACTTCTAAAAAAAGGAGTTCATTTTCACCAACTTTGGACATTTTAACACAATGTAAAATAAAAGTGAGGTTAAGACTCCTTCAAACTTATAAGCAAAATTGAACACGCTCAGCACACACCGCAACTTAACTTTGCTATAAAAATGTTTTATACTTATAAACTTATATTATAAGGAAAAATGGCCGTCTAACATAACGGAAAATGCTGTCCGCAACCTGGCTATTATCAGAAACTATAGGGAACGTTAGAACTAACATGTTTTATGTTGGGAACACTTTTTATGCCGTTAAGTTTTAGATTGGCAGCGTAGTAAGACTGACATTTTGAAGTTCAAACATGGAAGTACCCAACGAAGTACCTACTTGTACTAACTAGTAACTGCCAACTTAAGAGATGAGTTACCAAAAAAAACGACTATAATCACTGTCTTTGTACAACTGTTTTCAGCCGAAAACAGTTGTACAAAATCATCATTGTGACACCGAAATAGAAAAAAGTTATTGTTTTTTTATGGAAAGATATAAAAAAAGTAATCCCGAAAATTAACAATTTGTTACTAAAAGCAAAATTCATCCTATCTTTTATATTATCCGTAGCTTGATAACAGAACAATACGGCAACCGATCACCCGATCACCGTAGGTATCATAGTCATTGATTAATTAAAAACACAAATTAAAAAATCTATGCTTTTTTCTGCAAATTTTCGGAAATGCGTTTTTTATATTTCTCCATAAAAAAACAATAACAATTAAAAATGAACGTTCCATACGAAATGTATATCATAGACAATTCGATTCTAGAATTCACTTGAATACCTCACTGGAAAAAAAATGGAAAAGTTCATAAAAAATATCACTTCTCTTCATTTTTTCCCTCGGGGCAATAGTTAACGAGATAATTGCAGTCAATTGCAATTTTTTCTTCATTTTTTGTGTATAACAATATATTTCGGGAGTTTCCGGCCAGGGGATTATGATTTTCGGATTCATCGGATGTTTTTACATAGAGTACACTTGGTTTTGTTGAGTGAAATGACATCCAGCCCAAACCGTACTTTTGATGAATTATAGGGCTTTGCTTCGCGCCCTTTCTGATAGTGTATTATTAGTATGGGTAAAAATAACCGTGTAAAAAATATAGCAAACGAGCTCTTGGGTATGGCTATAGTATGTGCAAAACCAAATTGAACCTGGTGTTAGAGTTGCTTTTATTTCAAGTGCATATATGTCTAATTTTACAAAAATGACTTCTATAATAGTGTGCGTTTATGGAAGAACACCATAGATATTTTTTATATGTCCCTAAGACAGTTTGAAAGATCGTGTGACAATATCTAAGGACTGTAAAAAATTGTTCACAGCATTTTTTTTCTTTTTTATTTCTTTTGTTTTTTTTATTTTAATACTCTTAACATATATTTTTTATATTCTTTATGTTTTCTAATAGTTTTTTTTTATTAACAATACATGAACATTGTTATTGGGGTAACCTATTATGTTCATAAATAAATAAATAAGAAAGTTGGCACTGCGCGTGCGCAAAAAAAAAATTTGAAAATGGCGTTACATTTGCTTTTATTCCAAGTGCATATGTATCAAATGTCATTTAAATGCATTTATAAATTTAAAAAAGTTTGCAATTCGGTTCATAAATAGCCGAGATATCAAAAGAGCACTATGCATTTTGAATCGATTAGACTCAACTTTTACGTATTATATTGCTAAAGCTATGCCCATATTGAATTTCATACAATTCAGTTCATAACTAACGGAGATGTCAAAAGGGCCTTCCTTATTTTTTGGGCTACAGTGCCAATTCACGAACTCTGATCTACAAATTTGATAAAGAATCCATCTGCAAAATTTCATCGTATTCGAGATATCGTGATAACAGGCAGACGGACAGACACCAAATTATATATACTCGCAAGGAGCTCGATAATAAGTAATAATAAAAACAAAAATAAGAACTTATCGTTTTTTTCATTTCCCATTTTCGCATATTTCCCTTGCGCTTTGAGCAGAATTTCAAAAAAATAACGACAGTTTTACAACGCTTCGATCAACCCAACCGGAACCCCCAAAAGGACCTGAAATTATAACTAGATGTAGGTCAAGGGTTCGAGTCATACCTACGCCAGATTCTTTTTTAACTAAAAAGTTTATTAAAAGTTCATAATTAAGATGTGTGTACATTTTTTTACAAACGCTAAGAAAACAAAAAGAAATACAAAAAAGTTATAAAAGATAAATTCTAGAAATTTTAAATTTCCTACAAACAAGTCCGCGATGGCATATATGTATCTTCACTAT